ATTACTTTTGCAACAATTTGCAAAAGATTTTGCTTGTGATATCAATAAATGCAACACAGTATCATCAATAACGAATCCGGACCCACCAGTGGCCTAGTGGATAAAAAAACTAAACACTGATAGTTGGTCGTGGGTTCGCGCCTGGTCAACGGGCAGGCGATGTGGAGTTTTCCGGTTCTGTTCACGTTTGTAAGTTTTCCATAAAAAGTCCTCCCTCGGCAACTCGACACGTGTTATATAGCTGTATACAAACAAACAATAGCGGATCTAGAAATCTTTAGAGGGAGCACAGAAAGGTAACAATGTGTCTTACAAACTATTTTATTACCCGAGATATACGGCTTTAATCGAGAAAAATCCCCAAGAGGGTGCAGCCGGGCCCTGCGCAAATTCCCAAATCCGCCTGAATGTCATTCCTTTTNTTCTTAAATAAGTTTATTTTTCTAATGCAGGAGATTTATTATAATTTAAAAAAAATAATTACGTAAATAATGAAAACTGGCAATAAATCTAAATTAAGAACGGATCCGACACAAGAAATGTAGTCGAATGGTTTCGATATGGAAGTAAAATTATCGTATGTTTATATAATACAAGCAATAATTCATTTAAATATAACTTTCTTCTATATAGTTTGATAACAATTTAAAAATAGGCATATATCAGTTACAGGGGGGAAAAACAATAAATTTTATGCTACATTTTTAGTTGCATCCTCTTCTAATATCTCTTTTATTTCACTTTCCCATTCGACATCATCTGTATTACCTTCACCAGCTACCATTTCAAAGTCTTGTAATTCTTGTTGTAATTCTTTCTCCCATTCTTCATCTGTCAAACAAAAGAAAAAAAATTTGTTATTAATTATTTTAATGTACACACACACAAAAAAAATGGCAAACTTTAAAAATTTACTTATTTAATATTTTATGATTTTGAGTGTTACTGCGGCAAAAATGTCTTTTATATACCAGAGATTCCCAACAAGACTTCCTTAACTCAAATTTTATTTTTATCCCCACTCAACTCCCATAGACTTGTGCTTCCGCGTTTCTATAAGTCTAAATAATTTCGAGATTACGTTTTGCTAGTTTAAAATTTAAGATCCCGAGACTTTTGTGTGCTCTCTTTTGCATTTTTAAAAGGATAAACAATCTCATAAAGTGAAAGACTGGTATTATATAGAATGTGTCTATGACCACACGATACAAAATTGTAAATCTAAACAACTTATTTTTAAATGCAAATCAATCAATCAAATGTTAACACTTAATGTTAGACTTCTTTCATCAATAGTGTCAATGTTTTGCTATTTTGAACCTATAAGTACCTAAAAAGCAATCAAATATAATGTACTTAAGTCTAACAATATTACTTGTATCATGATATTTATGAACTTGTTACAACAGCAGCAGTTTCTGTAACTTAAAATTCTGTTGACTCGAAAATCTGTCCCTTTTGCTTTGAGTTAGAGTTTACTTTACACCCAAACAAGTAGATAAAAATATAAAGATTGTATCTATCAATTAATATACTTACTATAATTTCTGTAATTAGTTACTGAAAATCTTGATGAAAATACTTGATAATCAAAAATCTCAGAAAATTTAATGTATTTTTATTTTTTAAAAACACTATTCTACAAATGCTAAAAGTCATATTTACTTGCCAGACTCATGGGTTTGGCCAGACCACAATGGGGCAGCTGGGTAGCAAGGGATGAGGTTCAAATTATGCATGAAAATTCTTTAGGTTTCATCTCGACTTGAAAGATATCAAAACATCTAATCATCAAACATATGCCGTAAAATCCATCGGGCTATTTTTAAGGCTAATTACTAAGTNATTCCCAAATCCGCCTGAATGTCATTCCTTTTATATAATTATAAAAAATTCAAAATTAATTTATATAGAATTTTCATAAAGTACAAAAATTCACAGATGAAAGATAGCGTGTTGTAGAAAATCATCTACTAAAATCATAAAAATACTAAACTTTTACCGGAAATATGCTTAATTAGTGTAGAAATATAATTAAATTTACAACACTAAGGATAAAATTAGCGCTAATGTCGAATCAGTTGAAATGAGTGTTTTTTTAGATTTGGCATATAAGTTTGGCATAGACGAACACAGTGTTAGTTTGAAGAACTAGTGTGGTACGTTTGCTGTGGACACTAAAAGGGCCTTTTTATCGAGCCATTATGGGTTCACCAGGCCCACAACGGGCCGGAGCCAGACGTATCCGGTACGAAACAATCCCAGAAAAATTCGTTTCCAAATTTCCACGGCTGGCACAGTACCTTAACCAATCGACCATCCTACAAGATATTAAAGGTTCCTTACAATTAGTACCATTGTTCCGAAAGGAATTGTAGTTTTGTTATAACATTGTAATCACATATTGCCATGGTCATTCAATAGTGGATCCAGAAATCATTAAGAGGGGTCGCAGAAAGAAAACAACATGTCTTACAAAACGTTTTTCACTCGCTTTAATCAGGAAACCCCCAGTAAGGGATGCATCTTGTCCCCGGTTCCATCTAAACCCGTTCCTGGTCATTACATTCTCGCTAATGTTTCATTCAATTCTGACACCTTGGTAACATTTTTGTCAACGTGTATATTCTAACCTATACTACTAGAGGCAAAATTAGTGCAGTATTAACGAAGTAAACATATTAAAGCACGCCATACAGAAGTATTACATTTAGATAATTTTATAGATTAATCAGCACTTTGTACGAGCCGCTACGATAAGGTTTTATTAAAAATAACCTTATCAGTGTTTGCATGGTAAAAAAACACTAATTTTATTACAGGATATGTTCCACCCTTCTAGAAATATTAATTATTTTCTTAAGCGCTGAACAGCCTTACGTATTGAACTGCAAACACAATGTTCAATACGCTGTGTTATTCTAATTCAACTGCAATAGTCCGCGCAGGAAAAGAATAAACACGACGAGTCAGCCGATCCTATGTCAGATGAAAGGGGTGGAAGGAGACAATTACTCGTGTTAACACGTCTCCTTCCACCCCTTTCATCTGACATAGACCCTTCCATATCGGCTGACTCGAATCTATTCTTTCGCTGCGCGGACTATACATATCTAGAATACGATCTTATGTAAAACGAATTTAATCTACGCCACCAGTGGCAAAATTGGCGCTACATTTCGAATGATTTGTGTCGTTCTTAAATAATGACATCGTAAGATATTGTAAAAACAAAAATTTGTAATTTGTTGTATGAAATTTGGCAGTCGCGGACATTCCGGAGATTAAATTCGTGTGTAATTGTTACACACAGAATGTGATTTTCTTCCTTTTGCAAGATACTATGGGATCGTTTCTAGTCTTTGGGATAACTTCAATACGTTAAATGTTGTGGCATCATCGACAGTAACATGGTTATTGCAGCATTGTTTCCATAAATTTCCGCATTACGTAAAACACGTTACTCTACAGTATCTATTATTCCCTGTCCCTCACCACATTAACGGCCAGGCCCGTAATAGGCTTGCTAAAAGAGGCCCTCTTGTTAGTGCCCACAGGGCGGAGAGTTAAAAATAAGTATCAATTATTATTTGCATAAATGTTATCATGACTGAAAACGTTCAATTCTTAATTTCATATCGAGAATATCGCGTGAACGACGACGTAACGCCTGCCAATATTCGAGAATTTATTTACATAAATGTCTGTTAGTAACGCGTTGTTCTATTCTTCCGAGGAATCCGAACTCGATTCGCCGATGCTCACTGCGACGTACCGTAAATTACCGAATTTTCCAAATGCATTTCGTTGCGATTTAAACTATTCATTCCTCTTTATTAATTAATGCAATTTTCTGCCACGAAATCTACTTTTGTATGCCCTTCTCAAGGTTAGGTTCTCGAGTTTCATTTTTATGAGAAAGAAACTGCAAGGACTAATTTAGACATTTCAGTACAGAAAAATCCCTGAACTTTCTACTAAACTCATATTCATGGGATACACGAAACTCGGTTCCACGTAACAATACTAAACACAAGGCACGACAAACGCCAGCATAGTATATATCCGAGATTTAGCACCAAGTAAATCCACTTTTATGCAGTGTAAGTGACTTTTAAGTGTTACAAATGAATCGTATCAATGATTAAAAACACAAAAACAAAACGATTTTCCTGGCGTGCATCTGAAACACATTGTTCAATTCACCCCTCATTAGAAGACAAGCTGTATCAGTATAAAACTCGAAAACCGGATTTTTGTCAGTTGACATCTAATCAATTTTCCGGCCATTCTTTGAAAGCATCCGGTTTTTCGGTACATAAAAAAATAGAGATAAACAATGAGCACCTGGTCTTCGTTATGTAAGCCAAAGACATAAATCATTAATGACCCAATTCTCCATCAATTTTACCGAAATAAACTTAAATTTGTGGACAAGATTTAGAAACAAAACTTAATCTTCAAGCAGTTTCTCAACCCAGTATCTTGCTGAAATCTAATTCTATGCAAAATGACGAACTTGCGCGCGTGTGTGAATGACCCATCAATTTAGTATGTGTTAAATATGTTTCTATACAATCTAATAAAGAAACTGCACATCATTTAACATATGCTAACATTTTAATTGCAACATTCCAACATTACAGCTTCTGACAGATATTGCAGTTTGTTCCTAAGTGATTTTTTTTTATGTATATAGCTTTTTACACATAACATGCTCTAATAAACCATACTTATGCATTATCAATAATCAGAAATCTTTAAAAAAAATTAAAAAAAGGAAGAAACATTCATTTGGCATGACAAAAATCAACATTCGAATAGAGACATTTCCGATTTCTTTGTATAGAACGCATATAAGTCTAGAATTTTTCTAGAAAAGTTCCCGAAGCCACGACTCTGAAGCAGAATAACACAAGAATGGGCCCATTGCACTAGGAATTTCACACGATCTCTTAAATGGAATACACTGAAAAATCATAGTGTGTGGATTTCATTTGTTTTTTTTTTTTAAAGTAAGAAAGTAAGAATGATCGTTCAAAAGAACATACACACACACACACACGAGTAATAGCGAGTTTTAACTTCAACGCACAACTGTTCAACACGTATCTACAACACTAAAAAATGCTCGTAATAGAGAAGGCACACCGTAACAATTCAATAATTATATAATTAATGTATCGCGTATATGTCACACATTCTGAATAATGGAATGCTGTGGAGACTAGTTTAGCTCGAATTTCCAATAACTGCAATTTGTTTCCACCGTACACGGTGTTTTTTTTCTTTCTTTTGGAACACATCTGTGTGAATGACTCATCGATCGGAGTGTAGATTACAATTTATTTCGTGATTGCTCCTGCTGAAATTTGGGATTTTTTTTCTCTGGTTTCTAAGAATCCAATTTATGTTTAACGAAAACAATGTTTTGGTAAACACACAATTCGTGGAAAGAACTGCGTACGGTTGAAACAATTGCAGTATCGAAGAACTATTTATTAAAGAATAAATTTTTCTTTTATATTTATATATATAATACATATATATATAATTGTAAAATTTATTCTTTGTTTTTTTTTTATAAATATCAAAAAAGTATTTAAAACACTTAAATCAATAAATTTCTAGTAGAATGTTAAATTCACAGTACACAAAATATGAAAAATCTTAGATATTAAAAAACAAGCGTCTGTTTGTTTGTCTGGTTCTCGAGTACGTTTACAGAAGTATTTTTTTTACAGGTTATATATATTTGTGTGTGTATATATATATAACATATTTCGCACAACCAACTCTTAACGTGATGATAATTTTTGAAAAAGTTTCTAATTTATTTTCATCTACTCTACTACATAAATGCGTTTAATTTTTTTTTCCTGTTTTTCCACTTAATTGTTAGTAAATTTCTCGAGATTTACCTAACAGACTTCTATATTTTTTTCTTCTTTTAACACTCACGATACTCATCACTAGTCTAAAATAGAACACTTTAAAGTAAATAGAACGAGGGGGAAGGAGGAATCTTCGTATTTCTCGATACTGCACACAATACGAAATTCTGCTTTGCATAAATGTGTTTTTCGTACCGAATTTTTCGATACTTTCCTCTAATCTGATGCGAGGTGAGACTCCTCCGAATGAAGGGAAGCTTAACAATACACGGGGTGGCCCGAAAGTCGATTAACCACCCAGACTTCGGTGTCGTTATAATCATATTTACCGACTTTTGTGCCACCCGTAATTAAATCTAATCGGATTTTTTTAAGTCAAATTAACTGATATTTTTTATTAAAAAATTAGTTTTAATGGCGACTCTCTTCAAATCTACGAAAATCTACGAAGTTCAACGATCTCTTAACTCTTAAACGACGAGTTCACGCAATATGATACATAAGAATCATGCATAGTATTTGTGTTTGATATTGGATAGCCAAAATACCACAAGATCTAATCGATATCCTCTATGCCAAACTCGTTCACACGTCGCATAATACAATACAAATTGTTTAGTTACACAACACAAGAGACCTTCTGGAAAAGTGTTAACACAGTTTATATACATTTAAATGCTCATAAAGTATAGCAATTGATCCACTAGATTCAAGGTTCTAGACCAGAAAACAGTATAAATTTAAGAAATAATTTTCAACAGTCAGAATTCACGTGATACTTTGGAGTGTTATACATCAACATTTTAAGTGACTCATTAGTTGTGAGAAGGCAAACATTCTCTAGCTACTATCTTTATGAATTTTTGCTAAATTATAAACAAATACTATTTTTTTTCTTTCTTTTTTAATGTGGCTAAGTTTCAAATTAAGTTTGAGTAGAGATGTGTAGAAGAATTGCCTACCTAAAGTGCAAATATACTATTTTAATTCATAAAATTTAATCATTTTGCTTTGCCAACAGAACAAGGCTGAACAAATTCTGAAACTTTAAATCCATTGTGCCACACAGGATCCATTGATTAAGGAAGCAGCACAAAAATAGGGTAAATATTCTCATACCTGCTGCTATTACAGATTCTGAAACCTTGCACTGTATCGTTTTGGGTAAGTTTTAATCGGCGTGACCACGAAGAAGAGAGGCGAAACAAATGCCGACCAAGAGATTGGAATATAGAAGCAACTGGCTAAATTTGGACCGATATTACAAAGACATTATCTTGTACGGGAAGTTATAATGACCGCCAGGCATTTTACGTAATACACTAGGGAAATTAAACCAGTGTTTTTGTAACCCTACCTTCGTTATCTTTCTCAATTTCTAATAGGAGTTAAGGCAGACGATAATCACTTGTGAATGAAATTGATGACTAGACTGTTGGCCACTGCAATGACTAAAAATAATCATTTAAACATAAACATATTAATGTTTGGAGTAAGTTAAATAAAAAATTTGAAGTAATGTAAACTAAGAATGCCTTTCATTAGCTAGTCAATTCATAGTTTCAGTATATATATCACTCAATCTATGTATTGATATATGTAATAATTTCTCACAATTAGTGAATTATCAATATCTGTTAGAGGTAATATTGAATACACAAAGCTTCTCTGTAGATCCTACCTTCTTGACAATACAAATTATCCACTACACTGCTAGTAGTAGAGAGGCTTTGTTTTAACTTTTTCACTCTCTCACAGGGTTACAGCCCTATTCTGATCTTCAAGATGGTGTGATTTGATTTATAAAAACAAGTTCTTGCCTTTGACACACCACTCTACAAAATTGTTTGTTTACCGGAAAGTTTCCTATCTACAGACTATTGAATTATTCTTTAAGCTCGGAACAAAAATTGGATAAAATTACTATAAATACATTAGCCCGTTCCAATATTAACGGATAAATTCCTACAAAAACTAATTGTTTCTCTGGATAAGATTCCGACTAACATACCTCTCTCTCTCTAGTTCTTAAATAAACAGATCTTTATCAAACATTTAGCATATTAATTTTCTTTTGAAATTTAATCTCTACAGCACTAAATTTAATATAAATTACTAAACAACATCAGTTCAACGATATTCTATAAGATAAATAAAAGAAGGAAAATTTTGTTTTCGAGTTTGACATTAGATTTCTGCAGGTATGTCAAATATACAATCTCTATAAATTCCTTTTATTGAGATTTTAAAAATTTACATAATTTTCATAGGAATGTTTACGACACTTTAAATGCAAAAAGAATTGAATTATATGAAATCAAGTATTTGTCATATATAACAGACTTTTTAGTGTGAAATTCTATATTGCAATTTAATTGCAGAGAGAATGGGCATGGCGTAAATAATAAACTCTTGAAAAATTCAGAAGATAAAAGTTAGAAAAACAGAGCAGATGAGGAATAAATCAAGACACAAAAGCATGTCTACATAATTGGTTCTTTTGCTAAAAAATTTGACTTTTTAATAAAGAAACAAAACAAAAATTTATTCGATCTCTTATACATTGTGGTTCAAGCTAATACACATAAAGTTAATACCTTTTTCTATGTAACTAATCAGAGTTTCTTAACATCTTATTTAATTTAATAAAATGAATTATATTTGACTCGCTTGTTTCCTCTTCGCTCTACAATTGCATAAATGATTTTTATGACAAAGAAATACTTTAAGTACTTCAAACAAAATAACATGCATCACTTTATATGTTTTTGTGCTTGTACAGTACTTATGTAACTAGTCATTAAAAACATGAAAATTATTTTTCAAAAAAAGTCAGCAAGGCTAAGTATAATGAAACAAATTTCTAACTTGAACCATATGAGTTGCAAGATTTGAATTCTTTGTAGAAGTAGAGGTGTTTTAAGTGTAGAGATCAGTTTTAAATACCTATGAAAATAATGTAACATATGTATACAGTTAACTTATGTATGTATGTGTAATTTTTTAATATAGCATAATAAAGTTACCAAAGAAAGATCTACAATATGATTTCACATTACAAGTGATGGCAAAACTACAATGGTGCAAATTAGTTCAGACATAATGGGGTCTGAAGCCAAACCACCCATGATGAAAACAATTATTTTGATTGTGGGCTGGTTCTTTTTTCTTATCAAATAAGTGTTAAAAGCTTTGTTTAGAATGCAAGTCCCATCATTTGTGGCATTTGGGTGGTGTTGAACGGAAAAGAGGTCAAAATTAGTGTGTGAAGGTGAATGTGCTCTGTGAATTAGTGCTCTGGTGGATGTGTGAAGTGACTAGAAAAAATAAAAACTGATTTAGTCAGATGAGGGTGTAGCTAGAATGACTACAGTAGGGATGGCTTAGCAAACTGTGAAATGGCCTTAGAAGTTTTGTGGTTGCCTACCCCAGAGAAGAGGGTCCAAGACCCTTTCCTGGAATATATCGTAAATGCAATATATTATTATTAAAAAATGTATGTACCAAATGGTATAAAAATATTTGAAGTTTAAACACTAAAAATTTTTTATTTATAGTTTTTTGATAAATATATAAACCAAATTTCATCATTTAAAATAATGGATAAAGATAGCACAAAATTTTCTAGAGAGACCACCCATGGCCCCCTTTAGTTGTGGGCCTGTAGTCAGGAAAGGTGTGAAGGCAGTACAAATAACAAAACAGTTTGAGGAACAGAAGTTTAGAAGGTTTGAACACATGGCAAGAATTATACAGAATGACAAAGACTAAAGTACATGGGTTATAAGGGAGAAGACTAAAATAGAAATGGATGTAACATATTAAAAAAAATATGGGACAGTATAATATGACATCTGATATAGTAAAGGATAGAAAATGCTGGAAGAGAACAATCAGAAAAGCCAATCCCTGTTAACTGTGAAAAGGAATAGTAGAGTCTATATTTTTGTAAAATCATTACAGAAGCTGGAACTTTATCTTAGAGTAAACTTATACTTGTAACGCAACTTCCGACACTGACAGCTGGATGGCTGAGTGGTTAAGGTTGTATTCTACCACTCTGGAGTCCAAAAATCCCAGGAAATTTTTGGACGGTGTCTGTCTGGATAAGCTGGCCCCATCCCTTATCACCAGGATGCCCCATTGTAGGTCCAACTGACCCATAATGGGCTTGATAAAAACACCCTCTTTGTGCCCACAGGGCAGAGAGAGTTAAACTTCTGGCAACTTCATTTCTCACAAATACAAACATTTTTGGTTTCTTCTTTTCTAACTAAAAAGCTTAAAATTCAGAAATCTGTGATGACAAAATGATACAAAAGTGATGCATGTTATTTACATGACATTTACAGAAACGTCGCTTTCCAATAAAAAAAAAACCAACTCAAACCTATAATTAAAAAAATTAATTTATTTCTGTTAATAATCAAAAATCAGTTTATAAATATTTGTCATTTAATTTACAAAAAGAAATACAAAGAGTTTTTTTTAATTTGTAAGCTGAAACTACTTTAGCTTAAAAAATAACACCTTAAATAAAGTCCTGCTGAAAAAGTATTTAAGATGTTGTTTTTTTAAGTTAAGAAATACAAATTTTAAAGTGTAATGATCAATTTTGGTGCTAAGGTGGAATAGTATACAAAGTTCAAACTACATTTTACGGTAAATCACTCTGCGTAACATTAAATCTTTAATTTTGATTGTCCTTCTTGCATCTTTTGGCCGACGATTAACTCTTGCATCTTTTTGTGAAATTTTCTGTGTGTAAGTGTTACTAAAAAATGCAAAAAAGTTTACCATTGGCCGAAAGAAATCTGAACTACATCAAAAAATTCTGGACAAATTTTATAATTATCATACAAAAAAGTGCTTTTTCTATCTAAAAATAGATTTAAAGCTCTTGAAATTTCTATAAATTCAAAATGAAATCAAGATGCAGCAATATATATTTAATAACCATTTGCACTTAATGACAAAGAATTAGTTAAACTTTTTGCGAGTTTTCCATCCTCTTAACAGAATACCAATTTCAGTTATTAAAAATGCATTTATTCTTTTGTAATTTTTAGCTTAATTCCAGATATATTTTTAAAGATATTTTTATAATACAGTAGAACCAAGCTTCTTCAACATAACTGGTAGAAGAATTCATCCGAAGTCAAACTCTTATTTCCAATTGATTCAATGATCTAAATTGCAGTCCTATTCAAAAGAATATAGTCGGAACTAAATAATACTACACCAAGATTATCAAACAATATAGAAATTCATAGATCGTAATGGAAATGTCATTCGAACAGTGGGAAATTGTAGACCGAGCAATTGCTACAGTATAATGGTTGGGCGAGATTGACTGTAGCAGATTTGCTGTACCAATCGACACACAAATCCATTCCAAATTTAACGTAACCGGAATCAATCTTGCATTTAAGTAAGACTAAAAGACGAGAACCTCTTCACATTAAAATAAGAAAACAGCATTAAAAACGATTGCTAAAAAATACTTTCACGTTTTGTACCCTAAAACTTGTCAGAGAGCTAACAGATGAGCCAACCTGTACTCGAATATATACTGTGATCACAATTATTAAACTAAATAAATAGATTCGCTTTCTGGTTTGATTTTTAGCTCAGGAATCACTTTATGTATAAAATATTTTTGTGTTTTTAATGAGAGTATTCCAAATTGTATGTTTATTCAGTTGTCACATTTCTCTTATACTTTATATTTTGTAGAAAATATTTTTCAGTCTCATATTTTAGAATTTATTTCAAAGTATATATGCTTTTTTCATGACAGTTCCTGTTTCATAAGTTCACAAACATTGGGTAAACAAAAATTTAAATGCTTCCACAATATTAAACTTACTCCTTTAATCTTAATCACATTATAATCACAGCAAATACTTTGATTTTAATGGAAGATACATTAGAAATCACATTAATATCTTTTAAATGCTAAGAAGAATTTGTGTTTAATATCAAGATTTTAGTGGATCTGTTTAAATATTAAAAAAATCCTTAATAGAAGGCTCAAAATGGCCTGTATCATACCTGGAAGACTAATATTGACATTAATGTACTGTACATATTTAAAATACTTATGTTTGTGTACACAAAATACAAAGTTCAAATTTTCTCAATCGAATATCATATGCTGCTACACTTGTTTTGTTAAACAAAGCATTAGAGGCACTAAAAAAAATCAAGTATTTGCACAATCCTCATCAATAAATGATCACAATTATAACCACATTTGCCTGTTAATTCAATATTTATGTAAAATTAGACTATCTTATGATAAAGGGTATCCAAAAAGTAACTGTGCAGTGAAAAATTTTACAATGCAGATATGATAAATGCAGTTTCTCCTACAGCAAATGCCAGAAATGTCCCCAGAGGACCCAAAATCTGAAGGAGAGAGGTCTGGAGAGATATAGCAGGTCAGATTCCATAGAAGATTGTGTGACTGGCAAAGGAGTCTTCCAAAAATTGTAATCCAAAAACTGGAATGTCCATGAGCCAGTAGTAAAGCTTTCTAATGCAAAGTGGAAATGTGGGACGTATCAGTTACGGGTCTCATAGGCAACGTCTATGAATAACTCTAATGTCATTACAAATTTCTCACTGCACAGTAACTTTTTTGGAAATCCTGTATCGTAAGATTTTATCTAACTCTTTTTAGGTATTTATCCACATTTCTGTTTTAAATAATAATTAGATTATTAGTTAAATTACAGTGAATTCTCTTATTCTTGATATGTTTGATAATTTCATAAAATTTTCCTGTATCAAAACTGATATTCCATTTTATTCTTTCAAAATACTCTATCTTATAAATGTAAGTAAATCGATCTTACAATAATTTATCTGAAAATAGATAAAATTATCAAGCATACTAATATAAATATTACATGTATAATATGAAAATATCAGATTTAGAAACAATGTGATTCAAAAATAAAACTAATGATGGCATTTGACTTCCCAGTTTAACTGTTAAAATCAAATTTGTGCCGACATATGAGCTATGACTTAAACGTATTTTAACCCAGAACTTAATAATAGATTAATTTGTAAATGCAGATGCACCTATTATGTTTAAAGACTTGCCAAAATAGTTTAAAATAGCCCTTTATACTCTAAGCATTTTCTCAACCGAAGGAACCAACTTTCAACTGAAAAGATCATCTCTCAATATGGATCGATCGACATCTCTTCTTAAGATCTTAAGAGATTCGTTCGCAATACTCATCCTTCCCAACAAAGGAAGCAGGAAGATAAAGAAACATCATTTGAGAAAGTTGAATCATTCAGATCAAAAATGCTAAAACTTTGTGGACTTCTAAAAAGTGTATGTTGTTACATTCATTCAATTGGTGACTAATTTGACTCAAAATTCTACTTTTATTCTGTAATCATTTTCAAGGAAATTATTATAATATAATAATAATATTGTGCACAAACTTATATTACATGGAGAAAAGACAACGTTGGAAATAGGAATACTTTATGAATAATTTAAATAATGCACATAATTTATCAAAAATGTTTTTAAAAAGTGTGTAAGTATATCCAAATGTTATCATGCAAGCAATATAAAAAATATACAGACTTATATTGCTTTGTATTCTTTTCCATCTTGCACCATTTTGTCTAATTTTTATCTTCTGGTTTTTCTTTTCTTAACCAAAATCATCGTCGTAATCAACTTTCTTGGTAAATTATCTTTTAAAAATAAATGCTTGTAAATTATGAATTTTTGTTTTCTACAAGAATACAGTATCGGTAACAGACCTTCGATTACGGCAGAATTAAAATACAAACTATGAATTGACACAGAGACAAAGCATCGTCATCTTCTATCGCATTATGGTACTTAAAATCATAAGGAAAAATATAAACTGTTCTATACACACAAACAACATTCAAGAGACTTTTAGAGAGATTTAATATAATTTTAACTACTCAAATATATATATTATTTTTGAGTTTTCTTCTTTCTTTGGCTACAGTTTTGATTTTTTTAAATTTATATATATATATTTTTCAAGAGAACTGAACAAAATAAAAATAAATAATTACAAATTTATAATTTTGAAACTATTCATCAGGATATATATGGGCATAATCTTAGTATAATTTTATTTCTACTTCACAATATGTATCATGAAAAATGCTTTATATATATATAATATCAAAAAACTCAAATGTGTGCTCTGTCCATTAACACCAAACAGCTACCATTATAAATCCATCAAATACAATAATTATAATAATTTTAAAAACTTAATTTGTACTGGAATGTTAAGAGGTTGTTCTTAAATAAGTTTATTTTTCTAATGCAGGAGATTTATTATAATTTAAAAAAAATAATTACGTAAATAATGAAAACTGGCAATAAATCTAAATTAAGAACGGATCCGACACAAGAAATGTAGTCGAATGGTTTCGATATGGAAGTAAAATTATCGTATGTTTATATAATACAAGCAATAATTCATTTAAATATAACTTTCTTCTATATAGTTTGATAACAATTTAAAAATAGGCATATATCAGTTACAGGGGGGAAAAACAATAAATTTTATGCTACATTTTTAGTTGCATCCTCTTCTAATATCTCTTTTATTTCACTTTCCCATTCGACATCATCTGTATTACCTTCACCAGCTACCATTTCAAAGTCTTGTAATTCTTGTTGTAATTCTTTCTCCCATTCTTCATCTGTCAAACAAAAGAAAAAAAATTTGTTATTAATTATTTTAATGTACACACACACAAAAAAAATGGCAAACTTTAAAAATTTACTTATTTAATATTTTATGATTTTGAGTGTTACTGCGGCAAAAATGTCTTTTATATACCAGAGATTCCCAACAAGACTTCCTTAACTCAAATTTTATTTTTATCCCCACTCAACTCCCATAGACTTGTGCTTCCGCGTTTCTATAAGTCTAAATAATTTCGAGATTACGTTTTGCTAGTTTAAAATTTAAGATCCCGAGACTTTTGTGTGCTCTCTTTTGCATTTTTAAAAGGATAAACAATCTCATAAAGTGAAAGACTGGTATTATATAGAATGTGTCTATGACCACACGATACAAAATTGTAAATCTAAACAACTTATTTTTAAATGCAAATCAATCAATCAAATGTTAACACTTAATGTTAGACTTCTTTCATCAATAGTGTCAATGTTTTGCTATTTTGAACCTATAAGTACCTAAAAAGCAATCAAATATAATGTACTTAAGTCTAACAATATTACTTGTATCATGATATTTATGAACTTGTTACAACAGCAGCAGTTTCTGTAACTTAAAATTCTGTTGACTCGAAAATCTGTCCCTTTTGCTTTGAGTTAGAGTTTACTTTACACCCAAACAAGTAGATAAAAATATAAAGATTGTATCTATCAATTAATATACTTACTATAATTTCTGTAATTAGTTACTGAAAATCTTGATGAAAATACTTGATAATCAAAAATCTCAGAAAATTTAATGTATTTTTATTTTTTAAAAACACTATTCTACAAATGCTAAAAGTCATATTTACTTGCCAGACTCATGGGTTTGGCCAGACCACAATGGGGCAGCTGGGTAGCAAGGGATGAGGTTCAAATTATGCATGAAAATTCTTTAGGTTTCATCTCGACTTGAAAGATATCAAAACATCTAATCATCAAACATATGCCGTAAAATCCATCGGGCTATTTTTAAGGCTAATTACTAAGTAAATTACGAAATAAATTTGGCACTAGAGGTAAGCGTTATGCGCCATCTCTTATTAATATTAATAATTATAAATAAATTAATTAATTTAAATAATTTAGAACCGCTGGGAGAAAAAAATCAGCCCGGAGCGGGACTCGAACCCACAACTCCTGCTTACCGTGCAGATGCGTTGCCAGTTACGCTATCCGGACCTCCGGTCCGATCTCCTCTTCCAGCGTATAACTATGTAACCATCGACGGTTATTACAATGCTGGCTGGGGACACATTCAGTGCCCACGTCCTACTCCTATAAGGCACTCAACCGGCCATCGCAAGCCCCGGCAAGGCGTAATATATATAAACAATTATAGGAGTAGGACGTGGGCACTGAATGTGTCCCCAGCCAGCATTGTAATAACCGTCGATGGTTACATAGTTATACGCTGGAAGAGGAGATCGGATCGGAGGTCCGGATAGCGTAACTGGCAACGCATCTGCACGGTAAGCAGGAGTTGTGGGTTCGAGTCCCGCTCCGGGCCGATTTTTTCTCCCAGCGGTTCTAAATTATTTAAATTAATTAATTTATTTATAATTATTAATATTAATAAGAGATGGCACATAACGCTTACCTCTAGTGCCAAATTGACTTCGTAATTTATTTAGTAATTAGCCTTAAAACTAGCCCGATGGATTTACGGCATATGTTTGATGATTAGCTATATTACATCGGGTTTAGCGATGTTTATATCAAAACATCACTTTGGAAGATTACTGGATTACCAGAGTGATAGATTAATACTTTTATTGCCTTGGCATCTGGCTATTTTATTACAGTAAAAACTCAATCAACTGGAGTATTGATATTCAAGGATTGTAATTTTGTAGATTATGTTTGAATGAATTTTAAAAAATTTAGTAATACACAATAAGAAAATGTAGTTATTATGGGTTAGTTATTATTATAGAAAACAAGTCCTCGCATCCTTCTCAGTGTCAGTTTTGCTTTTGTATAGAAAGGATGGATACTAATGGCCATATTCACAACAGAGGGCCAAGAGTTAGGAGTTAACTGATAAGCATTCACATATTAAAAGTAAAGCAGATGGTGATTGGTTAACGTCTAATGCTTAATCCTCGATTGTGAATATGGCAGTATATGGAAGTATGTTGTTAATTTAAACAAATAAAAACAGCATTATATACATTGATTCTATCTTCCACAATTTTCAATTATAAAAGCACATCCCTCAAAGTAATAGCCGAGCCCAAAAGAACAAGCAACAAATGACCTGCAATCATATTAGCCCCCTATTCTCAACAACAACAAAAAAACAGAAACCCTTACAATAAACCTTAGTGTAATAGCTGAGCCCAAAAGAACAAGCAACAAATGACCTGCAATCATATTAGCCCCCTATTCTCAACAACAACAAAAAAACAGAAACCCTTACAATAAACCTTAGTGTAATAGCTGAGCCCAAAAGAACAAGCAAAAGATGCCCAGCAATCATATTAGCCGCCATCACCATCATTGCCCTGATTTATAATAGTGTTTTTACTTTTATGTATTGAACAAGAAGTGGGTTTCTAATATTCAAGTAGAAAATTTTACTAAGTCTTTGCTTTACATAGCTTGCTAAGTTTGCTTGGTTGAGAATATTTAATGTTAATGTTTAACATAAAAACGTTTATGTATACAAAATACAATACTCTATATCAGATTACGACATGTTTGTGAATTTCACAGTTCAGTTATAAGCCATACTCTAAATTATTCAAAAAATTCTAAATGTTTAATACAATTGAACTGCATCTAGTTAAAATAGAAAGGTGAGAAACATTTTTATGTATAAAAAGTATTGGCATTTTTATATTTTAAAATAATGTATTGTTTAAATTGTTAATATAGAGCTATTACTAGAGTTGTCCATGAATTATATAATGCAGATACAGTGGTTGGATATGAGGTAATTATTACAATGCATCACAAGGAAATAGGGATGTTTATAAAACATTACATAATGCAAGGATCTCAACCCTTAAGTAACAGGATGATTCATTTTTGTTTCCAAAGTGTTACATAGAGCAGTGTTCTGCAACTGGTGTGCCGTCACAAAGGTCTTTTACTTATTCTATTAATTTCAAGTTTTATTTATATATTTTTTATCACAGTTGCTATGTTTTTTATGTTTGTATTTCATTCTATGCCGCAATGATGAAATAAGACGATGTTTGTTTATTCTTTATTCCAAGCCATGCATTTTTATGTATTCTAAGAAATTAAATGTAAAATAAATTTGCTCACAGGTGTTGGTCTGTTTAATAATAATAGGTACATGGCATTATGTAATTCTATTAATAGTATATCATCATACATTTTTGATGTGCCATGCTGAGTCATAGGTGTGCTGCAAGAAGAAAAAGGTTGAGGAACACGGACAGAGAACCATATATTTAAGTCACTGCTTTGTACATTATAAAAATAATTAATAGAATAATGTAACATTTTGTATCCCCATGCTATGTATTATTTCTTAGTACAACTAAAGGGGTCAATTGAGGATACAAGTTACAAAATTTTGGAGGTTGGTATATGCAATTGAATTACAGTGGTGGAATGCTAGCCGGAAAGTATGAAAACAGTATTATATAATTTATGTATGATCTCTTCCATATACTGATTACTATTCTTGTTTCAAATATAAAACTTTCTTTACAACAAAGAACTAACAGAGGAAAATAGTATTTGAAAATGAACTGCCGAGTGATTAATTACATAACTTTATAAACTAAAACACAAAGTTGTTGTTCAGAATGAAAGTTCATTATAATACATTTGTATATTGCATTCTAAATTTACCATAAAGAGGAGAATTTAATATAGAAAGCATTATTGAATTAATTGGGCTATAATCTATAAATACACCTATAAATTCCCACTGTTGTCTGTCCATCCTTCCTTAACCTTGAGAACACAGTTAAAGGACCAGATATGGAAAGCTTAGTGGCAGGAGGTCCCAATTAACTCTATATGAACTATTTGCACAAAAATTTTCCCAAAAGGAATTAGATGACAGTTAGGAAACAAAAAGTATGATGGATAGGGGGAGGCAAGACACTACTAATTTGAGATGAAGCGCATATATTTTAAAATAAATAAATTAAAAATTGCAGCCCGGCATTATGACATTGTTACAATAAATAATTACTCATTTGTTTTCTTTCTCAACAAAGTATTTTATAACATTGCACTTACAATAGTTCTCTAGACTGGAGTTAAAGTACACAGCACAAAACACAGCAAAGAAATAATGCATTTGGATATGTATTATTGATTAATTTTGTAGTATTGACGCCAGGGCTGTGGAGTCGCGTAAAACTAACGACTCCTACTCCGACTTTTCCTTACTATCTGACTCCGACTCCAACCAGGGGCGGACTTGTTACTGAAAGAGACCCGGAAATTCTGATGTCATCATGTGACCTCAGAATAAAAGATTCAATAAATAGAGTTCTAATAAAGTTAGAATGTAGAAAATTTTTATTCCAAAGCTAAGAGACTCCTCTAAGTAATACATAAATATGTATTCGATAATTGTTACTTTTCTTTCTGAAAGTGTAGCGCTCGGTCAAAAAATGACCCCTCCCAAATTTTTACATTTTTGGACTCAGGACACCTTGAAATTTCAAGATATGCAAAAGATTTGAGGTTTTTTCTATATGTGTGGATGTTAGACTGTGTGGGGGGGGCATGATTTTGTTCACCCTGTTTGAAGCCTAATAATTTCTGTGGTCAGAGTGGTCAGAATTGGAGTCAGATGGTTTAACACAGGAGTTAGTTATTAAGTGTCAAAGTCAGTGGCGTAGCATGGGTGTCAGCTGCCTGGGGTGGAGGAAAATTTCACTGCCCCTTTAGGTATCTCAATTTAAAACACTAAAATTCAGTTTCGTCACAGAATAAGTAATGAAAAATTCCATGCTCATTTCAATCAGTCCGAATTGTAGGT